ATGTTTATGTCCTAGAGATTTTTGCCTATGTTTTTTTCTAAGAGATTTATGGTTTCATGACTTACATTCAGGTCTTTGATCCATTTTGAGTTCACTTTTGTGTATGGGGTTAGACAATGATCCAGTTACATTCTCTTGCATGTAGCTGTCCAGTTTTGCCAGCACCAGCTGTGGAAGAGGTGGTCATTTCCCCATTATATGTCCATGGCTCCTTTATCATATATTAATTGACTATATATATTTGGGTTTATGTCTGGAGTCTCTATTCTGTTCCTCTGGTCTGTGGGTCTGTTCTTGTGCCAGTACCAAATTGTCTTGATTACTGTGGCTTTGTAGTAGAGCTTGAAGTTGGGGAGCAAGATTCCCCCCCACTTTATTCTTTCTTCTCTGGATTGCTTTGGCTGTTTGGGATCTTTGGTGGTTCCATATGAATTTTAGAACTATTTGTTCCAGTTCGTTGAAGAATGTTGATATTTTGATGGGGATTGCATCAAATCTGTAGATTGCATTAGGCAGGATGGCCATTTTGACAATATTAATTCTTCCTAGCCAACAGCATGGGATGAGTTTTCATTTTTTAGTGTCCTCTTTAATTTCTCTTAAGAGTATCTTGTAATTTTCAGGGTATAGCTCTTTCACTTCCTTGGTTAGGTTTATTCCTAGGTATTTTATTCTTTTTGATCCAGTTGTGAATGGAATTGTTTTCCTGATTTCTCTTTATATTAGTTCATTGTTAGTGTGTAGGAAAGCCTCAGATTTCTGTGTATTAATTTTGTATCCTGCAACTTTGCTGAATTCCCATATTAGTTCTAGTAGTTTTAGAGTGGAGTCTTTAGGGTTTTTTATGTACAATATCATGTCATCTGCAAATAGTGACAGTTTGACTTCTTCTTTACCAATCTGGATACCTTGTCTTTCTTTCTTTTGTCTGATTGTCGTGGCTAGGACCTCCAGTACTGTGTTGAAGAACAGTGGGGAGAGTGGGCATCCCTGTCTTGTTCCCGATCTTAGGTGAAAAGCTTTCAGTTTCTCGCTGTTAAGTGTGATGTTGGCTGTGGGTTTGTCACATATGGCCTTTATTATGTTGAGGTACTTCCCCTCTATGCCCATTTTGTTGAAAGTTTTTATCATGAATGGATGTTGAATTTTGTCAAATGTTTTTTCAGTGTCTGGAGATGATCGTGTGGTTTTTGTCCTTTTTGTTGCTGTTGTGGACGATGTTGATGGATTTTCTAATGTTGTACCATCCTTGTATCCCTGAGATGAATATCACTTGATCATGGTATATGATGCTCTTGGTGTGTTTTTGAATGTGGTTTCCTAATATTTTGTTGAGTATTTATGCATCTATGTTCATCAGGGATATTGGTCTGTAACTTTCTTTGTTTGTGGTGTCTTTGCCTGGTTTTGATATTAGAGTGATGCTGGCTTCATAGAATGAGTTTGAAAGTATTCCCTCCTCTTCTATTTTTTGGAAAACTTTAAGGAGAATGGCGTTTATCTCTTCTCTATACGTCTGATAAAATTCAGCCATGAATCCATCTGGCCTTGGGGTTTTGTTCTTGGGTATTTTTTTGATTACCAATTCAATTTCATTGGTGGTAATAGGTCTGTTTAGATTTTCTGTTTCTTCCTTGGTCAGTCTTGGAAGGTTGTATTTTTCTAGGAAGTTGTCATTTCATCTAAGTTTTCCAGTTTGTTAGCATATAGATTTTCATAGTATTCTCTAATAATTATTTGTATTTCTGTATTGTCCATCGCGATTTTTCCTTTCTCATTTCTGATTCTGTTGATGTGTGTAGTTCTCTTCTTCCCTTATTAAGTTTGCCTAGGACACCATTTATCTATTTTGTTCATTTTCTCAAAGAACCAGCTCTTGGTTTCATTGATTTTTTTCTATTGTATTATTCTCCTCAATTTTATTTATTTCTTCTCTGATGTTTATTATGTCCCTCCTTCTGCTGACTTTGGGCCTCATTTGTTCTTCTTTATCCAGTTTCAATAATTGTGACTTTAGACTATTTATTTGGGATTGTTCTTCCTTCTTTAAATAGGCCTGGATTGCTATATACTTTCCTCATTGAACTGCCTTCACTGCATCCCACAGAGGTTGGGGCTTTATGCTATTGGTGTCATTTGTCTCCATATATTGCTTGATCTGTGTTTTAATTTGGTCTTTGGTCCATTGATTATTTAGGATCATGTTGTTAAGCCTCCATGTGTTTGTGGACCTTTTTTTTTCCTTTGTACATTTTATTTGTAGTTTTATACTTTTGTGGTCTCAGAAGTTGGATGGTAGAAATTCAATATTTTTGAAATTACTGAGGCTGTTTATGTGGCCTAGTATATGATCTATTCTTGAAAATGCTCCATGTGCACTTGAGAAGAATGTGTACACTGCTGCTTTTGGGTGTAGAGTTCTGTCTATGTCTGTTAGGTCCATCTGCTCTAGTGTGTTGTTCAGTGCCTCTGTGCCCTTACTTATTTTCTGTCTGGTGGATCTGTCCTTTGGAGTGAGTGGTGTGTTCACGTCTCCGAGAATGAATGCATTGCAGCCTATTTCCTCCTTTAGTTCTGTTAGTATTTGTTTCACATGTGTCAGTGCTCCTGTGTTGGGCTCATATATATTTATAATGGTTACATCTTCTTGTTGGACTGAGCCCTTTATCATTATGTAATGTCCTTTATCTCTTCTTACTTTCTTTGATTTGAAGTCTATTTTGTCTGATAACAGTACTGCAACACCTGCTTTTATCTCCCTAGTGTTTGCATGAAATATCTTTTTCCATCCCTTGACTTTTAGTCTGTGCATGTCTTTAGGTTTGAGGTGGGTCTCCTGTAACCAGCATATAGATAGGTCTTGCTTTTTTATTCATTCTGTTACTCTGAGTCTTTTGATTGGTGCATTCAATCCATTTACATAGGATGATTATTGAAAGATATGTACTTATTGCCATTGCAGGCTTTAGATTCATGGTTACCAAAGGTTCAAGGGTAGCTTCTTTACTATCTAACCATCTAACTTAACTGTCTTATTGAGCTATTATAAACACAGTGTGATGATTCTTATTTCTCTCCCTTCTTATTCCTCCTCCTCCATTCTTTATATGTGAGGTGTTTTATTCTGTACTCTTTTGTGTTTTCTTTGACTGCTTTTGTGAGTAGTTGATTTTATTTTTTGCCTTTAGTTAGTGTTTGGTTGGTGTGCTTTCTTTGCTGTGATTTTATTTTCTCTGGTGACATCTATTTAGCCTTAGGAGTTCTCCCATCTAGAGCAGTCCCTCTAAAATAACCTGTAGAGGTGGTTTGTGGGAGGCAAATTCCCTCAACTTTTGCTTGTCTGGAAATTGTTTAATCCCTCCTTCATATTTAAATGATAATAGTGCTGGATTCAGTATCCTTGGTTCAAGGCCCTTCTGTTTTACTGCATTAAGTATATCATGCCATTCTCTTCTGGCCTGTAAGGTTTCTGTTGAGAAGTCTGGTGATAGCCTGATGGGTTTTCCTTTGTAAGTAGCCTTTTTTCTCCCTCTGGCTGCCTTTAATACTCTGTCCTTGTCTTTGATCTTTGTTGTTTTAATTATTATGTGTCTTGGTGGTGTCTTCCTTGGGTCCCTTGTGTTCAGAGTTCTGTGGGCCCCCATGGTCTGAGAGACTATTTCCTCCCCAGTTTGGGGAAGTTTTCAGCAATTATTTCTTCAAGGACACTTTATATCCCTTTTTCTCTCTTCTTCTTCTTCTGGTACTCCTATAATGCTAATATTTTTCCGTTTGGATTGGCCACACAGCTCTCTCAATATTCTTTCATTCCTGGAGCTCCCTTTATCTCTCTGCCTCAGCTTCTCTGTGTTCCTGTTCTCTGATTTCTATTCCATTAATGGCATCTTGCACCTCATCAGGTCTGCTCTGAAGTCCTTCCAGAGATTGTTTTATTTCTGTCGTCTCCCTCCCTACTTGCTCCTTTACCTCTTGCATATTTCTCTGCAGGTCCATCAGCATGGTTATGACCTTTATTTTGAATTCTTTTTCAGGAAGGGTTGAAGACTGGGACCCACTGGGCTAGCACCTTGGAAATGTGGAGGGCGCACCAAGCAGCAGGCACCTGGAGGCCAAGCAGGGAGACAGGAAGGAGCCCATCTAGATGTTAGGCCCCTGTCCCTTTAAGACTTTCAAAACACACTCACTTTTCTTTTGTCCCAGGGAGCCAGTTGTGGGGACCCACTCGCAGATTTTACTTTTCTGTTTCCCTAATATCCAGCACGCTGTGCAGTGTGTGTCTGCCTTCCTGGTGTGGATTACCAGAGCTGGTTATTCAGCAGTCCTGGGCTCCCTCTCCTTTCCCACTCTGACTCCTCTCCTCCTGCCGAGGAGCCGGGGTGGGGAGAGCAGAGCGCTAGGGTTCCGCCAGGCCACAGCTTGTATCTTACCCCCTTTGTGAGGCGCTGGGTTCTTGAAGGTGTAGATGTAGCCTGGCTGTTGTGCTGTATCTTCTGGTCTGTCTTTTAGGAATAGTTGTATTTGTGGTATTTTCAAAAATATATATGGTTTTGGGAGGAGATTTCTGCTGCCCTACCCACGCTGCCATCTTGGCTCTTTTACCTCTTTGCAAGCTCTTTAACTTGTCAGTTCTCCTACACTGTGTACTTACGACTCAGAGGGGAAATTCCGAAAGTGATATATTTTTAAAGAAAGGTAAAATGAGCCCTGAATGAAAAGGAAGTCCTCAAGAACAAGGCAGGAACTGAACAGGTCTTACATGACAGTGATTCTCAGACGTTTGGAATTCAAGAATCAAGAAAAAACAGTGGGGACATCTCATGGGACTGCCATTATTTCATGATGCCAAGTGAGGCATTAGAAACAATAACTATTATCTATTATCATCATCTCATATTAGAGGAAACATATTAATACCAAACACAAAAACCTAGCCTCAGAATAGTCCTTTCCATTGAGCTTTGTGAAAGACTCATTACATCATTCTTATTTTTCTCATTCAGATGCAAAATGCTAAAATCTTCATCTTGGGTTGAAGACTGGGACCCACTGGGCTAGCACCTTGGAAATGAGGAGGGCGCAGCAAGCAGCAGGCACCTGGAGGCCAAGCAGGGAGACAGGAAGGAGCCTGAAATGTGAAGGCTGTGGAAGGTCCCGCCCCTTGGCTTGGCCCCAAGGCTCTGTCACGGCTTCGCAGTGTGTGTGGTAAGTGTGGGAGTTCCTGGGAGCCAAGTGGTTATTTCATTCTCAAAGACTGTAATGGTGACTGCTTGAAATCCCTTTTCTAAGCACTGAAAATACAGCTCTGTATACGACAGATGTAATTCTTGCCCTTTCTCATAGAGGAGAGGACTCTGGGACAAATATCTTTCATTAAATCCATGAGATCAGAGATGGCACCAAACCCTCCTCCTGTACTTGACCAAGGACTGGTAGACGACAGCAGGCTCAGCGAAGAGACACCGAACCACAAAGTTCCTTGGGTGCCCTGAAAAGGCCAGTCAGGGACATTAGAGGGGAGAGGCATCCAGTGGGACCTCAGTTGGTATCTCTTCTGCATCAGTGAAATTTCTAGTATCCATTTCTATCCAGGGGTATATTGGAAAGATATGCATGTTTTATTAAGCTTGGAATAAGGTTTCAGTATTTATGTATAAGTCTCAAGCTTCACTTTAGCATTATGAAGCCTAGCAAAATGCAAGGCTAATTTAATAATGTAGGCAAATTTCTTTGCCATTAATCCCATGAATCATATATGTCTCCTCTAAGAGCCTGAAATATGAATATTTTAGCACAAGTAAAGTGTCAGGAGAGAAAAATCTCTCTAGTTGGGACTAACCAAAAGAAGGTCAGAGTGCATTCTAGATGTTAAACTAAGGTCACCTTATTATATAGTACATACATGAATGCATATTATGTGTATATATATATTATAGTACCTATATTATACTATAGCATATAGCATATATATATCATAGTGTACATAGATGTATGTATGTTTATATTATAGTAAACACAAGCAAAATTAACAGTGGATGAGTCACTGACAAATAGAGGTCTTACCTTAGTTGCTTTCATGTAACAATTAAGAGCCCAAGAGTTTAGAATCCTATATATTAGGGTGCCTATAGATGCAACCAATGTCTGAAAGAACAGTTTTGGAAAATAATCACCTTTACATGACTGTGGATACCATCAACTTGTTTTGTATGCATTTTTCTCACAGATGACTATAATGGCTATCTTTACTTCAGCTAGGATCCTTAATGTAAATTCTTGGCCTGTAAATCAAAAATTTTAGAGTTCTCCACGTTGTAATTGTCATGTTTGAGGATAGTTTCTCTATTTTCCCAAGTGAGAATTATTTGGATCATGACTGTACCTCTGCTTAGCAAGATTTCCTTTTATGAAGTTTTTTTTGTTTCTTTTTCATGGGAAGAAAACATATTTCTTAAGCACTTACTATGAGTTTCTACAATGGAAGGCCTTGAGGGCAAGGACCATGTCTATTTTATATTCCTGGGCCTAGCAGAGAGCCTGCATATAATGAGTGCTCAATAAATGGATGCTGAATGAGGGGTGTCCAGGTGTTCCTGCTGGGAGCTCCTTCCAGAGGTGGCCCCCAAGGAGGCCTCCCACGGGCCCCGCCTCCTATTATTTTCTCCCTTTTGTAGTTCTCTCCATGCTAAACCAGGGCTGGTTAGTGTGGCCAGTAGAACAGGCGGCCGTGATGGTACGACACTGCTAGGTTTAGGTAATAAAGACTGCAGCTTATGTCTTCTTCTCCCTCTCTCTCTCTCTCAACGGCCACTTTGGGGAGAAGCCATGTGAATAGGTCCCTGTGCTGAGGAACGGAAGCCTCCTGCCAACTGCACGTGGGCGGGCTTGGAAGCAAATCCTCTGATCCCATTTAAGTTTTCAGAGACTGAAGCCCTGACCAATAGTTTGACCATAACCTTGTTAGAGATTCTAAGCCAAACCGTTCAGCTAAGCACTCCATGATTCCTGACCTTCAGAAACTATATGAGATAATAAATGTTTCAAGAAGGTAAATTTGGGGAATAATTTGTAACTCAGCAAAAGATAAATAATACAACATAAAACCCCATACCTTTCTCACCAAAACCCCTTGAGGAAGGCATTAAATCACTTTCTGACCCGTGAAGACATAGAGGATCAGTGGAATTAAGGAACTTGTCTAAACCATCACAGCTGAAAGTGGGAGAAATCAGATGCAACTCCAAGCCGGCGCCCGTTACCTCTCAGGGAACAAAAACTTCACATTCTCTTGCCCAAATAATCTTACCCTTAAAGTTTGTCACTCTGTTATTATTTGGGATTTCAATATCTGGTCATAATAAGAGCAGAGATTATTAAAAATATACCAAGGGAAGATATTTGCATAACCCATAAGTGATCGAGGTTTCACGGTCATGATTTTCAAATGGAGATATGACAACACATGGGAAGGAACAGATAAGCTGAAAGAATCTGAAAGTGACACAATCAAAATCATTTGTAGGTATTTTTAGCACAAAGAAAGAAATCCTGTTGGCAGACACTGTTAGAAGGGTAGGTCCATTTTCAGGTGCTGTATTTAGAAAGGCAAAATGCCATTGCAAAATAATTGCTTCTTAAGAACACTGATGAGCCTTGGAAATATGAAGCAGGTTCTACAACTATAGGCCCATTTCTGTGGGGCCCCCATCCAAGCTGAGAAGGGGACTACTCAGAAGCAGCACGCGTGGGTTCAAACCCCATCAGCCTCCGAATTTTCAGTGAAAGAGTGGGTCTGTTGTGCAAACACAGCTTTAAGACAAATCCCTGGGTCTCACCTTTTAACCAGATTGCTGCCCCTAAAATAGTTTTGTACAGAAATTCTGGAGCAGCTCTGGTAAGTAGAGAATTCGAGCTATACAGATGGGTAGCAGAGAGCATTGAAGGGCACTAAGCATGTTAAATTAATATAATGCAGGGGCTGTCATTCATGGAGTCCTGAAATACTTGTGGGCAAAGGTTGGTGTGTGTGACATGTGTTACAAGAAGTTTGCAATTATTACAGTTAAGTTACTGGCCTTTTCAAATGATTTTTTAAAAAGAGAAAATAAATAAGAGGGTTTATCTCTCACCTTCACAGGATGTGTGTTATATGTGTGTGTGTGGTGTGTATCCATGTGTGTGTGTCTAGCTACATACAGTGCAGCTTACAAATGTAAAGTGTACTGTTTGAAGGTTTTTAATATATCCACAGAGTTGTGTGACCATCATCACAATTTTAGACATTTTCATTAACCTTGCAAAAGAGCCCATACTCAGTAGTCAGTCCCCATTCTGGCTGTCTCTAAAGATTTGTCTGTTCTGGACATTTCATATAAATAGAACCGTGCAATATATGGTCTTTTGTGATGGCTTCTTTTACTTACCATAATCTTTTCAAGGTCCACCCATGTTGTACATGTGTCAGTGCTTCATTCCTTCTTATTATTGAACAATACTCTATAGTATGGTTATACTACATTTTATTTATCCATTCATTAGTTGATAGGCACTTGGGTTGTTTTCACTTTCTGGCTATTATGAAGACTTGTGTATAAGTTTTGTGTGAACATATGTTTTCATTTTTCTTGGGTATATACCTAGGAATGGAATTGCTGGGTCATAAGGTAACTCCATATTTAACATTTTAAGGAACTACCTGATTGTTGGCCAAATCAGCTGTATAATTTATGAGAGTTCCCTCCAGTGATGTATAAGGGCTCCAATTTCTCCATTTCCTCACCAGCACTTACAACTATTTGTCTTTTTGATTATAGTCATTTTAGTGTGTGTGAAGTGGTTTTGATTTGCATTTCCCTTATGACTAACAATGTTGAGTATCTTTTCATGTGCTTTATTGACACAAGAAGACATTTGTATATATTCTTTGGGAAAAAGTCAATTCAGATCATTTGTCCATTTAGAAAATTGTGTTGTCTTTTTATTATTGAGTTGGAAGAGTTCTTGATGTATTCTGGATACAATCTCTTATCAGATATTTGCAAATATTTTCTTCCATTCTGTAAAATGTTCTTTCATTTACTTGATGTGTCCTTTGAAGCACAAAAATTTTAAGTATCAATGGAGTCCAGTTTGTCAATGTTTTATTTTGTTGCTCATGCTTTTGCCTAACCCAAGGTCATGAAGATTCAATCTTATATTGTCTTTAAAGAGTTTTATAGTTTCAGCTTTTACATTTAGGTCTATGGTCCATTTTGAGTTAATTCTTGGGCGTGGTACGAGGAAGGAGTGCAACTTCATTCTTTTGCATGTGGAAAACCTCACAGTGAAAAAGTTACATTTTCAAGGAGAATAAAAAAAATTGCTTTTTGATGCCTGACCTTTCATTATAACATTTAAAGCTCAAATGATTAGGCTCTAGTTTTCCCTGTGGTACCAAATTTATTTATTTTCTTTTCTCTCCTTCCTCCCTCTTCCCTCCCCCTTCCCTTCTTCCTTCCTTCCTTTATTTCTTTCGTCTCTCTCTCCCTCCCTCTCTTTCTTTCCCTCTTTCTCCTTTCATGATTGTTGCCAATTTCTGTTGCTATTCCTTCAGACAATCAGTAAATATTTATTGAGCACCTGCTGCGTTCCTGTTACTTTGCCATGTGGTGAAGGGGCTACAAATTTGTACAAGACATGGATTCTGCCCTAAGGGGCTTTACGATTCAGTTGGGGTAGTTAGTGCCACATATATTAGATGTTACCCTATGACATAAGGTCAATAAGAACCTAAGGCTCAAACTGGTCCTAGGAACACAGTGAAATGTTTGTATTGTGGCAGAACCACAAAGGCCACGTATAGATTGACTGAATACAGTTGAGAGATGTGGACATCAGAACACTCACACATTTCTGATGAGAATGTAAATTGGTGAAGCCACTTTGGAAAACAGTTTGTAAGTTCCTTCAATGGTTAAACATAGTTACCATGTTTATGCCCAAGAGAAATGAAACCATATATCCAGATGAAAACTTGTACACAAATGTTTATAGCATGATTATTCACAAGAGCCCAAAAGTGGAATAACTGAATATGTCCATCAACTGATGAATGAATAAATAAATATGGTAAATCCATACAGGAGAATATTATTCAGTCACTAGAAGGAATGAAATACTGATATGTGCCACAACATGGGTGAGCTTTGAGAAGAGTATGCTAAGTGAAAGAAGTTAGTTACATAAGACCTCAAATTATATTATTCCATTTATATGACATGTTCATAGTAGGCAATCCACAGACAGCAATTAGATTAGTGATTGCTTAGGGCTGGGGACAGGGGTGGTGGTGATAAGGGGTGTGATAGCTGAAGAGTATGATGTTCTTTTTTAGGTGATGAAACCATCCTAAAATTGACTGTTGTGATGGTTGCACAACTCTGAATATACTAACAGTAATATATGTGTATTCATTAAAAGGGTGAGTTGTATGGTATAGGAGTTATATCTCAATAAAGCTGTTGTTAAAAATGAACAAAAACAGCAAATGCCAGAGGGATGAGGAGGACAGAGAGGGAGTGTAGCTCAGGTGACCTGAGAAGGCTTCATAGCAAATAAACTCATTTGTTGGTTTGTTCATTTGTTTGTTTATTCATGAAGTATGCATTGAGTAGTTACATGCAACAGACATTATTCTAGGCACAAGGGATACAACAGCGAATAGAACAAAGTCATTGCTCTGAATGAGAAAACACAGGAAATGGAGAAAATGGGGAAAGGACTACATATTAGTGATCAGAGAAAGCCTCTCCCAGAAAGTAGTATTTAAGCTAAAACCAGAATGAAGAGTGAGTATTCTGGAAGAGAAGTTCTGGAGGGAAAACTTACCAGACAGAGGGAACAGCAAGTAAAAAGTTCTCAAGACAAGGAGGAATTGAAAGGAGAAAGAGGAGATAAATTGGGAGCTCCGGCAAGGGCCAGACCAAGGAGGGACTTGAAGCCGTGGTGATAGCTTCGGGTTTTTCCCTGGTGGGACGGGAGGGTTTTGAACAGACATGGTGTAATGTGATTTATGTTTTAAGAGGATCACTATTTGTTCTGAGTGGTATAGACTTTGAAGTCAAGAGCAGAGGCTCAAAGGCAGCTACAATAATCCCAGTAAGAGATAATGGCAGCTTGGACGAAAGTGGAAGCAGAAAGCTAGAGCCAACAGGACCTGCTGATGGGCTGAGCGTAGGATGTAGGTCGGATTTCAAAATGAAATGTTTCAGCTTATGTTTCTGTCAACACCCCAATCATAAGTTGTGTGAGCAGGGGTTTCAAGCTGGTGCCCTGCTTTGTGTATTTGCGTGTGGCTGTGTTTTAGTCAGCTTTACTGAGGTAAAATTATCATATAATAAAATTCACCAGTTTCAAATGTACGGTCTGTTGAATTGTAAATGTATACAGTCATTGTGTAGACCACAATCATGTTACAGAATAACTTCATCTCCCTAAAAAGTTGCCTCATGCCCACTTGCCATTGGTGCCCTCCCTCCCTGCCCGGCTCCTGGGAATCACTGACCTGCTCTCTGTCCCTGTAGTTTTGCTTTTTACAGAGTGTCATATAAATGGAATCATATGTCTTATCATCTGGCTTTTTTCACTTAGCACAGTGTTTTTGAGATTCATCTGTGTTGTTGTGTAATCAGTATTGTGTACCTTTTTTATTATTTTAGAGCGAATACAAGAGACCATACTTAGTCAGCTTGGGCTGCCATAACAAAATGCCAGGAGTTGGGATACTTAAATAACAGAGATGTATTTCTCATGGTTCTGGAAGTGCAAAGTCAGGGAGTGGGCATGGTGAGGCTCTGGTGAGGACCACTTCCTTGGCTAACAGATGGCCACCTTCTCTCTGTGTCCTCACAGGGACGGACTGATCGGTCATGAGGCTCCCACCCTCACAACCTCCTCTATACCTAGTTATGTCCCAAAGGCCACATGTTCAGATATCAAATTTGTGGGTAGGGCTTCAGCATATGAATTGTGGGGGACATAAATCAGTCCACAGCACAATGGAACACAATAGAGTACAATCTGTTAATTCATTCACCAGTTAATAGGTACTTGGATTATTTTCAGTTTGGGACTCTGATAAATTAAGCTGTTATGAATATTTGAGTACAATTTCAATCTACACCCTGAGCTAAAAGATTGCAATGAAACCTTATTACTGCAAAGTCATGAAACTGCTGTTAGGACAAGTCAGAACATTCAGGCTTCTGCATCTGACGAAAGAATCGTGGAACTGACAAACTGAATGAAGTGCATCATTGACATTGTGAGACAATGACACAATAGATGAAAATATTTTCAACAAAATATCTGCTGAATAATATAATGAATAATGATAGGCTTTAACATTGCCACAGCTTTTAAGTTTGTCTAACTAAGCCTTTTCCTGTTTCACCCATATCTTCACCAGTATCAGATACAACACATTTTAGCAGATTCCACTTTGGGTGGTACTGAATTAATGTTTTCTCAACTTCTTTGGAAATATTCTGTTAATCTAGACTATTCAGAAAAGGCAGTTGTACAGTCCTTTCAAACTTTGCATTGACTACTTGAGTAAACTTACCGATATTGCTTAGTACTTAATTAAGCAATATCAGTAGGTCATCAAAAGCCAAGAAAAGTTACCTGAAAGAATTTGCCTTCATTTTAATTGATTATTGAGGTTGCTTCTCATGTTTCTTTTCACCCAATATACCTTAGTAGTAAAGAAGTTAATTTGCTCTGGACGCATTCTGTTGACTCCTGCAATCAAGTCCAACTTAATTAATTCACCAGCAGTGAATGGCTGCCCTTGTTTGCTCACAGGTGAGCCACTCAGAAATGCATTTCAGTTGCAGCTTCATTTCCACTCTTTACATCTGTGAAAATATTCTACTGTAATGAGATATTCTGTTTTTAAGATCTCCCATAGGTGATCTATTCCATTTTATATTTTCTCTTTTTTGATGGTTGTTTTCCTATGCATTGAGAATATTGTGTTGTGCGTTTGGTTTGTTAGTGTCAATATATACTGCATAATAGCACAGCTTTAGTGTTACTGTATACAAACACAATGCTTTGCCATCTAATTCAATAACAGAATAATTCACATTCCATTGAATTATTAGGTTGTCCTTCTGCCTGATTTTGCTTCTGTCTTTCCTTTCACAGGTGTGGATCTGAAGGACACCCCTAACAGTCATCGTGTACTTTAAACTTGTCTCAACGCCTGCAGCCAAGAGAAGTCGGAGTGTAGGTGCGGTCTGAGAAAGCAGGCTGGAAGGTGAGACTGTGGAGCTGGGTTACTCTTTGCTAGACTGGCACTGAGGACCCCTTCACTGCCAGTAGCTGGCACACAGATTGCCCTTAACATAATGTTGTGGCCCAATTGTTGAAACTTTCATCGGTGGTGAATTGGGATGGTATATTTGTAAAAAAGAAGGTACTAGGCATTTGAGAAACATGGGGGAAATTGTAACAAGACAATGTCATTGGGCAGCAATTGCTAAGCTCCACTGACACCTTAGGAAAAAAATGTGAAAGACTAGGAGTGCTTAACAGGCAATTGAAAACCATATATAAAAGCTAGAGGTATACAGTGAGGCAACCTTCAAGGATCTGAAGGATCCACATCATTTTTCCATTTAATTAATCAGTATTGTCTGTGAAGAAATCAGACAAAAACTAGAGGTGATAGTAGATTACCACAGACTCACCTATGGAGTAGCCCTATTGCAGCCCCCACGCCAGTTTTAGTATTTTTGCTAGAGCAAATTGCCACAGCCTCAGGTACATTTTATGTGGATACTGATTTGTTGAATGGGTTATTTTTATCCCTGTGAGAAAAGTGGGTCAGAAACAGTGAGCATTCACATGGAATAGACAACAATATACCTTTATGGTTTTGCTCTGGAGCTATTAACTTTCCACTTCTGTGGTAGTACAACCTGAAGAGATCAGCTCTATTTGGACCTCCTACAGAACATCACCCTAATCTATTACACAGATGACATCATACTATTCAGCCAGATGGACAAAAAGGGGACAGCACAGTAGAGGCCTTGGTCTGACACATGTATGCCAGAGGATGGGAGATAAATTCCATAGAGATGCAGGCATCTGTCACATCAATAAGATGTTTCAGGGTCCAGTGTCAGGAACATGCCTCATATCCCATCCAAAGAAAAAGATAAATTATTGTGCTTCCCACCATGATGAAGGAAGCATATGTCTGGTTGGCCTCTCTGAGTTCTGGACACAGTATATTTCACTGGGAATACTATTCTGGACCATATGTCAGGTGATACAAAAGGCTACCAACTCTAATTGGAGTACAGAACAGAAAAAGGTTATAAAGCAGGCCCAGGCTGTAGTGCAAGTGGTCCTGCTACTTGGCCATATATGGTATTTGTATTTTCATCTTTTTTAGACGCTGTGTGCAGTTTATGGCAAGTTCCACTGGGAATCACAAAATAGGCCCCCTGGGGTGTTGGAGCATGGTCATGTCATCTGCAGCAGATATTTATGTGCCTTTTGAAAAAAATTTGCTGGTGCGCTACTATGACAGCATAGGTCACCAGTGACCCCATGTAGGGAGCTTCCATCATGAGCGGGGTTCTATCAAACCCACCAGTTATGATGTCAGGCAGGCAGCAACAATCTCTCCTAGAATGGAACTGGTTGGTCCTGAGATTGAGCACAAGGAGGACCAGAAGGTACAAGTGAGTCTTGCTTGAGCAGGCAGCCCTGATGGCAGCCATCACACCAGCATCACACCAGCGCCCGTCCTCCGTGCACACTGTGTCTCTATTTAGGATACCTGACAACCAGCTGAGAAGAGGAGGGTTCAAATCCCATACTTGGCTCATGGGGCACTGGCTCAGTGTGTCAGTTCAAACTGAAAGTGGATCACAGTTGTGTTACAGCCTTGAAAAACAGTGCTGAAGGAAGATCTTCTTAGTGGGCAGAGCTTCAGGACGCACACCTGATCATCCATTTTGTGTGGGTGGAGAAGTGTCCCAAGTTTAGAATGTCTGTGGACTCAGAAGCAGTGATGAAAGACCTATATGGCTAATTGGGGCCTGCAAGAAGAGAGATGGGAAGACCAGAAACAAGGAGGTCTGAGATAGAGAGGCAAGGATGGATGGGTGGGTGGGAGTTGGAACAAAGCATGAAGGCTTTTTATCACATGTTAACACCCACCAGAAAACATCCACCACAGAAGAGGCACTACATAACCAAGAAAGACAAAAACCCTGTGGTTTGCCTTTAGCCAGTCTGTCCCCAGCCACCCAGTCCTGACGCTGCGGGCGCATGAGCGGAGCAGCCACAGTAGCAGAGACGGAGGCTAGTAGGAGTCTAGTAGCTGGGCTCCCACTCGCAGAGGCCGATCTTGCTACTGCTGCTGCGGAGTGTGCCCCCAGTACAGCACAGTCCCTCCAGGAGAACAACGGGCCATGTGCTAGAAGTTGACTCCATTGAACCCCTTCCACTCTGGAGGAGCTGTGATTCACCCTGACAGGAATTAACACGTCTTCTTCGTACTGTTTACGTCTCCCGTCCACAGGCTCTTAGCCAGCACCGTCATCTGAGGGCTTGCGGCGTGTATGATTCACCAGCACACCACGTCAGACCCAGGGACCCAACTTACTGCAGTGGCGGTGCAGGGACGAGCCCACAGTCACAGGTTCACTGATTCCGTCATATGCGGTGCCACGAGAAGCTGCTGGCCCGACAGGGTGTCGGAATGGCCTTCTGACGGCCCACTTGAGGTGTCAACTTGAAGGCAATCGTTTATGAGGAGTGGGCTCATCTTCCCGGGTGCTGTGTACACCTTGACTCAAAGACCTTTCTGTGTGTTGTGTCCTCAGTAGGAAGAATGCATGGTTCTAGAAACCCGGGTGGAAGCAAGAGGGACCTATTTTGCCATCACTCTCAGTGAGCACTTGGGGAATTGGGGCTTCCAGACATCACAACTCTGGGGTCTGCAGGGTTAAAGGTCTTTGTCCCCAAATGGGGACTCTCCCACCAGAGGACACAGCAAGAGTCCTGTTGAATGGTAAACTATAGCTGCTTCCTGGGTGCTCGGGCACCGTGTGTGCAGGGAGCAGCAGGCAAGAAGGGTCATCAGCTTGGCCCCGAGTGCCCCACTTGGGGGCTCCTCCATACTTTCTTCCCCAACTGTGGCAATAAATTGACAAATGCAGCAAACCTGGCCAGAGAAGGGTGTGGTGGCCAGGGGCTCAGATACTCAGGTAAGCCACTGGCACCAAAGGAGATGCGAGCTGAGGGTGAGGAGAATTTGCAATGGATAATGAGGAAGGAGCCAACGAACACCAGCTGTGATTCCTGCGAAGTTGCAGTAGCTGGGGCTGTAGTTCGTCCCATTAACTCTGTTCTTCTGGGTTTCTGCCAGGAATCCCGGAGGAGCTGATCCTGAAACTGGCCTGTGGAGAGGAAAGAGGACAGTGAGGTGTTTTTCCAAATAGACTAGAGAGTGTTTTCAAGGGTTGACTGTGGCGACTCCTCCCTCCATCCCTGTACCCTCACTCTTTCTACACACACTCAGTAAACGCCCACAAACATGAGCCAGATGAGCCATGGGTCTTGCCACCAAAGCAGCCCTAACTGAATGGGAAAGACAGATACCCAAATAACTCTACAGGAAATCCTTTAATATGAATGTTTTAGTATAAACATTTCCGCCGTACTTGACCCTTATAGATACAACTCCCCTGCACTTCCCCACAGAGCCTCTGGGGGGCGTCTCACGTGTGCTCCTGAGCAGGCCTGTCACCTGTCACCTGCAACAGACTTTGCCCATTTCCTGCCTCTTCCTCTGCTCCTGCGCTGCTCTGCCGGGAGCCTCCCTGTCCCACAGGCAGTGCGCCTTGGCTGGCACGGCTGCCGCTGATTCACTGGAGCCTGGGAGACGCCGAAGCTGCCCCGTGGGGTGGAGGTCGGGAGAGGAAGCTTCTCTCCCCTTTTGTGTTTTGCTTTGTCGTGGTTGGGGCAGCAGGGAAAGGGGTCAGTTTGTGTACCAAGTTTTTAATATGGTGTTTCGTAAAGTATCCCTTTCGATTTTTACTTAAAGTGCCCTTCTGTCTTCCTTCTGGTACCGGTTGAATGTGCTGTGTTTTCTTGGTCCTTGTCTTCTTGAAGGAAAGAATTCGGCCAAGAGAACAGACAGCAAGTAGAGGCAGCAAGGACTTTATTAGGTTAAAGTGAAAGCACTCTTGGAAGGGTCCAAGGGAGCAACTCAGGAAAATTCGAGCGCCTCATTTAGCTACAGGCTGAGGGTATTTATGCCATTTTGGTCCCCCTGATTCCTTGTCTATCCCCTCCCCTGTCCGTCCTTAAGGTGGAGCTGTTGTTAGCCAGTGCTCGCCTTGTTTCGTGCCAGTGCTCGGGTGGATGTGGCAAGGCTGTTTGAGTTTTGATGTTATGCACATGCCCATTTTGGTTAATTTGCCCCTGCGGGTCAAGCACCCCCCCACCACTGCAAGGTCATATAGTGGTCAAATTCTGCCATTTTCATATTATCTGCACATGCCTGGCTGCACAGTGGAGGCAATACAGGGGCAGGTGGGGGGCTTGGGTAGAGGGGGATAGTTGGGGGGATGGCAGGATGCTCTTTGCTGAGGGGCCCAGGTGACCTTTAGCTAGAGGCCCTGGGTGTTCTTTCCGGTAGTCCTCCCCCACCCGCTCTCCGCTCCTGTGCAGCTGTCTGCCTGCTCCAACACTCCACTTACACAGTATGCACATATGAGCCAAATGGGGGGACTGGGTTGGGAGGCAAATGCAGTGATAAATAGAATACTAAATTGTCCCTCCCACATAGGATTTCACTCGGTGGGGTCCACAGCCCCAGTCTACCCATGAATGCAGACATGATCGCAAGGGATGGAAGCTGGGTTCTGTTCACACAACCAGGGTAGTGAATGTCTTGCCAATGGGTTTCAGCCCCAGACAAGTTTGCTATGGATTCGGTGTGACCAAAGAAATTGACAGCAAAACGTTCTTGGGGTGAAAGGGTTATACCCAACTTTATTTCCAGGTGGCAGGTCAGTCACTAAAATCCCACTCACTCAGAGCGAGTCTGCATGCCTCAAGCTGGTCTCTGCCTCTGGGCCCCTCTGTCTGCACAGCCGTCCTGCACAGCCATCCTCCAGGCCTCTCTGCACAGTCATCCTACCCAGCCGTCCTCTGGGCCTCTGTCCTCGGTGCTGCCACCACTCCAGCCTCTGCTCTGCTCTCCTGCAGCCTTGCAGCCCTGCCACCGTGTCACCCGGAGCATTGGGCAGAGCTCTTTTTATAGAGTCAGCAGCCATGTATTGCCCACAGATGTGCAGTGAGCTAGTCAACCAGGGCCAGGTGAGAATCCCGGCCACAGGAACTCTCATTTTATCCACAGTGAAGAAGAGGGAAGAGTTCATTCATTCATTCAGGGGGATCAGGGGAGACCTTACAGAGGAAATGTTCCTTGAACTGAGTAGAGTAGAGGTCAGTCAGGCAGGGAAGGGAATTCCGGACAGAGGGAAGAGTGAAAGCTGAGCACAGGGCCCTTAAAATGTTCGTTGTCTCAAAGTCCTTGCTTCAGGGAACTTACAATTCCATGCAGGGAGATGAACAAAATGTTTCTCCTGTTAGGTGTTAATAAAAACCAAGAAGAAAAAATAAATAAGATGATAGAAAGTGGAGAGGGAGGGTGACTATTTCATGTAGGGTAGCCAAGGTCGACCATTCTGAAAATGTGGCTCTTGAGCAGAAACTTGAATGAAGTGATTAAAAGAGCTACGTGATCTCCAGGGAACACCAGGGGTGCTAACCCCTCAGACAGGAGCTGTCTGGTGAGTTTAAGGAGCAGCAAGGAGGCCTTTGTTGGGGTACAGTGATAGAGGGAGACAGTGGTAGAAGAGGGCTTTGAGCAGAGGATACTATCAGCGTGCTGTTTGCAGAAAAGACTTAAGGAGGCAAAGCTATAAACAAGACCAGTTAGGAGGCGCCTGCAGTGATCCAGGTGCAACATGATGAAGACCTCGGGATGGTGGTAGTGGCAGAGGGATGCAGAGGTGTTGGTGGGAATTGTTGGATTTTAGACATCTTTTGAAGGTAGAGCCATGGGATCTGTTGGTTGACTCAACAAATTTGGAATGGCAAGTTGTTGCTAAATTGGGAAATTGAGACCATTTCTGAACATATCACTCTCCTGCTTAAAATTTCATGGTAGCACTCAAGATTCTTTAGCAAGTCATTCATTGATTTGTTGATTCATGCAATACTGATTGAATGCCTACTGTGAGCCAGGCACTGTGCAAGGTGTTGATGACCCAATAGCAGAAAAGTAGGACATATTCTCTGCCTTTACAGGCCTTAGAGTCAAATGGGTCAGATAGACAAGTAATCAGGTCATTAAAACCCACGTGACAATTGCCACTCTAGAGGAAGTACAGGTGGAACTAGGGCCACAGGGAGAAGTATCGAATTCAGAGTTAGTGGGAGGAGGAAGGCCCGAGCTGAATGTCAGGATGAATAGGTATTAAACAGTGGAAAGAGTAAGGGCAGAGGGAACAGGAAGAGAGGGAGGAGGCAGAGGGTGTGGAGCATCGGATGATACGAAGGAAGTTCTGTATGGCCACAGGGGCTGAAGGGGGTGAAAGACAAGGCTCAAGAGGAAGGAAACGATCAGTTCATGCCAGGCTTATAAGTCATGTTAAGGGGTTTGCATTTCTAATCCTAAAAGCAATGGAGAAACATTGAAGTGTATTCAGCAGGGGGAGTAACATCACCTCTTTAACCTTTTGAAAGAGCCCTTTGGTTGCAGTGGGAGATGGACTGGAGGGTGGAGAAGACTGGAAACTGGGAGAACAGTAAGGAGGCAGCCACAGCAATCCAAACACAGAGCGAGGTAGAAGGGAGCCCTAAATGGATTTGAGGGTTGTTTTGGGAGTGGAATCGCTAGAACTCAGTGACTGACAGGATAGGGAATGAATGACAGAAAGAAGTCCAGTGTGATCCCCAGGCTTTGGGCTTGAGCAGCTGGGTGGAAGTGCAAAGCATTCCCTGAAAAAGGGAATGCAGGAGGAAAATTGAATCTGTAAGGGAATGCTGAGTCAGACACGCACAAGGGGGCTCAAGGTGTTGGGGGGCATCTCAGGAGACGTCCAAGTAGGCAGGTGGATAAATGGATCCAAAGGTCAGGAGAGATTTGGCGGTCAACAGCACTGAAGCCATGGGGTGGGTGGGACTGGCCAGGAGAGGTTGAGTGCGGGGAGAAGAGGGGGCCCCAAGCTCACCTCCTTTCAAGGTCTTGCCCTGCCTGCTCTTCCAGCCGCATCTCCCGCCATTCGGCCTCTTTCGCAGGCAGGCAGCTCCTGGAATTCTTGCCCCTTGTCCTTGGACCTTCCCGTCAAGTTCCTTCCCTGTTTGTGCCCACGCATTTAGTACCCAGTTCAAGTATCACCAGTTAGGTGAATCCCGTCTCCCATAATTGGAATGATATGTTTATTTGTATGTTTCCTCCTCCAGTTGGTGAGTTCAACGTCTTATGCATACTTTTATTATATTCCCCTGAGCTGGAACATGTGTTTGGCACATAACAGATGTATCGTTGACATCTGTGAGTAAACGGGCAAGCAAAAGAATAACTGTGGAGTGAGAGGCGGGGACTTCACCCAGGGGACTGGGACGCCAGGAGGGGGACATCATCAGCTCAGGGGGGAAGTGCACTCTAACAGCCTTGCGCACTTGGGGCTGAGAGTCCGCGTGGGCCCGCGACACCCGCCGTTGGCCGGCTTTGCGGGCGGCTCTGTGGCGGGGCTTCAGCAGAGAGTCGGAACAGCCTCAGTCCAGCCCCTAACTTTCCACTGTTCCCATTGGTTGCACAACCGCCCAATGGGCAAGCAGGAACTGAGAGCGGGCTCTCCCCGCGGAGCGCTGGGCCCCCGTTCGCGCGTCTCGCGAGCGTTACGGTGACTCGGGGAGGCCGCGCCGCTCTGGGTGCTGGTGCTGAGACCAAGGGTGCTGCGAGGGGGCTTGCGAGCCGAGATACCATGTTTCGAGCGGCGGTTCCTGGGCCACTGCGACGGGCGGTGAGTCCGGGCGGGCAGGGCCGAGCCCGGTGACCGTCCGTCTTAAGCCCGCTGCCCTTGTGAAGGTCTTGGAGGAGATCCCTGGCCCCCACAGACGCGACCGGCCCCGCGTAGGCGGGCCCAGCCCGGCCTGGGGCTCGGGCCCCAAATCCCGGGCCTGCCCGTGACTCCTGCCGCCCGCCAGCGGCTGGCCGAGGTCAGGTCGGGGGCCAGGGTGACCCGCAGTAAGGAACTCGGCGTTTGTGCTGCCCCTGCGCCCCGCCCCCTCCCACCCTCCGGGTTTCCTCTGCGCCACCAAGCCTGCAGGTCCAGTGACCCGGGCAGGGAGCCCCGCCCTGGGGGAATCTGTACCCGAGGAGGGGGGAATGTCGCCGCTGGGATGCCCTCGGAAGGAGTTTAGAACCCGAATTCAGCCAGGAACCTGACAGTTCTGGAAGAATTAAACTTTTTTATTGGGAGCACTGTGACTGCCGAAGCCACTTTAGGTGCAGGCGCGGGGGCTGCGTGGTAATGGATGCTTGCTTGCTCTGCTCTGGCCGACGGGGCAGTGCTGAGTTCGGTGACTGTATATGTAAAATCTATGACCAATTTTATGACTTTAGCCACTTTTGAAAGGCAGGAGTCTTTTTGTATTGTAGGCTGACCTGATTTTAAATCAGCAGATTCTTGGTTTAATAGCCAGGGAACTACAGGTAGTGGTAAGTTTATTATTTTTTTCACTGGTGACAAATCAATTCTATTGTGAGAAGACGGGTAGAAAATATATTTTTGTCTTAATGCCATGGGACAACAGTATTTGAAGACTGACCAATTACAAGTCATGTAACAATTTATATTGTGGATTCTGTAAATTTTCTAATTTACAATTAGATTGAGAAGATTGTTATACTTGGGTCAGAAACTTCCCTGTGTTGTGTACTTTTCCTACAATATTATTGTATGTGCTTATTTTCCCAAATGGAATTTTCTCTCTGAGACATAGCTGGCAATCTTTCTAGACATCTGTAAATCCTTTTCTTGTGTGTTCCTTGTTCCATTAACACCCTTTGTTCTTCAAACCCACATCTTTCAGGTCAGTGTTCATTTGTTCTCCGCTCTCCCGTCCCTGAATTTTATTTTTCTCAGAGGAAAAATATAAACAACTTATTAAGTCATAGATTTGGGGAAATTACAGGTATCAGAGCTGGAGTCACAGAAAAATACTTATCTGTACAGCAACTGGAAGGTAGCTTTGTGGACAGGTTGGAAGCCTAGCAGAAGTGAAATAATTGTGGTGGGGGAATTTAGGATTCAGTTATTTTGTAGAGCTAATAGAAAAAAAATGGAATATTTAGCTTAAGTAATTCTTATTATCCATATGGTCTGCCAATAAACATCGACAGTATTTCCAAATCTTAATTGTGGTTTGCCAAAGACTTTGACCTTGACTTGCTTTTAAAATTTGAAGTCAGCCAAGTAGAGCAGCTGCTTTAAGTCATTAGGAACATTTGAGAGATTTGAATTTCAAGTGTTAACAAAATTGTGGGAACACTTCTAACGTGGCTACATATATAGATATTTAACTTACACTTTGAAATAATTACAAACTGATAGAAAAGCTGCAAAAATAGTACAAAGAATCCTCAAAACCGTTTGGTGAGTTTCACAGCTGTTGTTTGACACATTTTCTCTCTCTCCATATATACATAATACTTTTTGAACCATTTGAGTACATCTTGTAGACATGTCCTTTACTCCTAAATTCACTGTGTATTTTCTAAGAACGAGGGGGTTCACCTTTCACAACCACAGTGCCATTGGCAAAATCAGAAAGTTGAATAATTAAAATACTATAATCTACAACATTCAAATGTTGCCAATTGTCTGATTAACATCATTTATAGCGATTTTTCTTGTTTTGGTCTAGGATATTCCAGGATCATTCCTTGTATTTAGTTTTCATGTCTCTTTAGACTTTGTTAGAAAAGTTCCTCAGCCTTTCTTTGGCTTTGATGGCATTGACAGTTTTGAAGGCTACAATCCTTCTATTTTGCTGACTACCCCAATTTAGGTTTGTCTGGTGTTTCCTCATGATTAGATTCAGGTTATGTATTTTTGGCAGGAGTGTCACAGAAATGATACTGTTTTTTCAGGGCTTCCTATTAGGAGGCTCATAGTGTTGATTTATCCCATTACTGATCATATTAACTTTAATTACTTGACTAAATTGTTTAACAGGTTTCTCCACTATCAAGTTGCTATTGCTCCTTTTGTGATTTTTAATTTATGGGGAGAGAGACTGAGACTTTGTGACTTTCCTGTTTCTCATCAGATTTTCACCCACTTGTGTTAACATCTGTTAATGATTCTTGCCTGATAAATAATTACTAAAGATGTAAAGCAGTGACTGTTCTTCTCCCATCATTCCTTCTACATTTACTAGCATTCTAAGGAAGAACATTCCCTTCTTGCTTATGTATTTATTTATGGGCTCATAGATCCTTACTTTTTTTAATAGGTTTATAACCCTTTACTACTCTTAACACATTCTGATGCTCAAGTTGTCCCATATTTCTAAGGTGGGAGTCCCTCCAGTCTGTCTCCTGTTTATTTCTATTTATGATATCATAAAGTCATAATAGCTTATCTGAAATCCCCACCCTTGAAATTAAAAAAAAATTGGCCTGTAGCTAACCAAGAGTAAATTTAGGAAGATATATTTACATGGAAACATATTTTAATAATATAGTAATCTGTTAAAATTTTAAAGAGTATCTTAAACTGCACAACAATGGGAATATAGCTAAACTGCTAAACTTTGCACTTAATGGGTAAGATGGTAGATTTTATTATTTTTTAGTGCAATTAATTAGGAAAAAAAGATACCTTAAACTGTTAAAATGTAAGTTAAATGACTTGCATTTTGTATCTAAATTCTATTTCCAGTTTTGACTGATTTGTGCCCTTGAGTAAAGTCCCTCATCTTTGGGGGGCTCCTCAATGTTAATGAAGGTGGTATTTTACATAATAAGGAGCTAGAGAACCACACTAAGAGGAAAATAGGTAAGCATTTTCAATCAGTTAACATTCTTTTGGGGATATTAATGTGAGTTATTAGTATTATTTTATTCATTTGTATTTGAAATTAATTTGTTCACTAAGAAGATGATACCAAAGAAATATTTCATGAGGAGAGTTAAGCAACACTTTTCAGGGTTGTTTGAATGTTCATGTTACTGTGTTCATTGCCAGACAGGAAGGCATAAGTATTATGATTCAGAAGCTATGAAACTGGCATGAAGGAATTGGTTATGAAGGACCCTGATATTTTTCAGAGTCCATGGTCTGTCACTGGTGAATGAGATTAAATGCTGCAATTCAGAAGGGCAAATTTTAATTTCTTTTGAAAGAAGAAAGTCCTTGTGATGTGATTCTAAAAGATTTATTGCATAAGGTGAATTCTGTAAAATTATGCTGCCTGCCGATGTGTCTACTAGAGTTTTGTCTATTTTTAAAGTGAAATAAATTGACTATTTTTAATGTAATCAATGTCATATGAGATTTCTAGTCATGATTAAAAGGTACCATGTTTTATTATTAAAGAGATAAAAGTAAGTTACTTAGTTTAAGTATGGAAATGTAGTATACATTTTATTATAAAATGTATATTAAAATAGGGATAGGTGACTTTAATTATATGTTATTTATCCTTTTCAGTAGCACTTGGAAGGATTTCCTAACTTATTGCTGCTTTTTTATTTTTGAGTTAAGCAAAAAGACCCTCACACTCCCCAGCCCTCCTTACTCTTTATACCACTTTGTTTTCAAGGATGGTTGGGAGAAGTAGGTTAAAATTATTCTAAACTACTTTCGGTTTTGAGTGGGTTTGTAAGTTGTAAGGGTAAAGTGGGGAGTTAGATTCCAGCATTTTTTGTTCTCTTCTAACGTGTGGAAGTTCACTACATGAACATGCAGGTAAGAGTCACAGCAGAAACTCCTGAGCAGTATATCTCCTTAATTGCTTGTAAAAGACTTGGTGGTGTGGGGGCTGCCGGAGTGGGGGGTGGGGTGGGGAGGAAGGCAGGTAGAGGTAAATGGCAGTGTCAGAACAGTTAAGGCTGAATAAGAGAAGGACCAAAATGTGTTCCATGGACTTAGCTATAACAGGCTGCTGGGGACTTTAAAGAGATCAGATTCAGTGTTGTAGCAGAGTGAAAGCCATTTTGTTTATGAATAAAGGAGAAAGAGGTGAGGCAGTAGAGTTGGTGCATACAGTAATATTTTTAAGAAGTTTGGCCCTGAAAGGGTGGGAAGAGGATGATAACCCCTTTAAACTCTGCCCACAAGAAAACACTATTTCACAAAGACCAATCAGCTTTATAAATGTATAGATTATGCCAAAGAAAACTTTTCACATTTTACTATTTGGAACTAAGTTTGGTCAGTAGTCTGGATAAGTTCTCTAAAAGCATGATGGGGTATCTCTCAGTGCTTTAACACTTTTCGCTACTGTCTTTGATAGGAACAAATTTAAGTGCTTAGATAAATTATCGATGAGAGCACCTTCATCTGTGAAACAAATACTAAATGAATTAAAAGGGGAAATAGAATGCAATGCATTCATTCTAGGAGACATCAACACTCCACTCACTCTGAAGGACAGATCAACCAGACAGAAAATAAGTAAGGACACAGAGGCACTGAACAACACACTGGAACAGATGGACCTAACAGACATCTACAGAACTCTACACCCAAAAGCAGCACAATACACATTCTTCTCAAGTGCACATGGAACATTTTCAAGAATAGATCATATACTAAGCCACAAAAAGAGCCCCAGTAAATTTAAAAAGATTGAAATTGTACCAACCAGTTTCTCAGACCACAAAGGTATGAAACTAGAAATAAATTATGCAAAGAAAATGAAAAATCCCACAAACACATGGAGGCTTCACAACATGCTCCTAA